GCTTATGAAATCTAAATACTGTCAAAGAGTACATCCTGTTGCTAAAAAATGGCAGAATGGAGACTCCCACATCTGGAAAAGAATGCTCTCTATTCGACCGCTCATTGAGCCTTACATTGCCTGGAAAATCTATGATGGTTCCTTGAGTTTTTGGTGGGACAACTGGACAGGACTTGGAGCTCTTGCTAGAGTACCTAATCTTGAGAATGGAAGATTTTTTCTTCAACCTCTTAAAGATTATTTGATTAATAATTCTTTTGATTTTCATCAGCTCTCAAACATTCTGGATCCAGGCTTTTTTTATACATTTTCAAGTGGATTTGTCTCTATTGGGCACCAATCTCCCAGACAAAGCCTATTGGAAACCCAGAAATAATGGCTTATTCACATTAAAAGCTGTAAAGCAATTCCTTTAGCCTAGTATGCAAGCTGATATATTTCTACAGAATTGTTGGCATACTAATATACCTTTCAAAGTCTCTTTTTTATGCTGGAAAGTATTACTGGGGAAACTTCCTTTGGACTCTATTTTAACCAGATTTGGTTTGCACCTTCCATCTAAATGTTTGTGTTGTTCTATACCTGCTATTGAAGCTCCTGAACATGTTTTTGCTAATAGTGAGGTGGCCCATGTTGTTTGGAATTATTTTTATGATATGTTTGGTTTAAATGCTGAATCTGCCCACACTATTAAACAACATTTACGCATGTGGTGGGGTGCTAAACCTCATGCTAAAAAGCCCACTGTCTAGAGGTTTTTGAAGCAATGCCTGCCCATCTTCATTTTATGGGAACTCTGGGTACATTATGCTCCTTTAAATTTGGTGATGCAAAAATCAATGTTGCTAGGGTCATTTTTCAAGTAAGACAAGGAGTAGCTGAGGCGGCCTGCAGGAAATGGCCTAAGTTGCTTACTGCTCTTCCTGATTGGAAAGCAATTTTTTATCTTTCTGGGTGTATTTCTAAATCCTTTTGTTTTAGATCTGTGCTTTGGCAAACTCCACCTGCCGGAATTGTCAAACTTAATGCAGCTTCAATTCACCAAGGGACTATCTGGGGGGTCTCATCTAGGTCAGGGATTCTAAGGGACAGTTTAGTTAAGGGCAACTCTTCCACTTTGGAGGTCACTCTGGTGCTTCTTATTTCTACTGTCCAGTGGTGTTTAGCAGCTGGCTATAAGTGTATTATGTTTGAGGCTGATTTTGATGATTTTTTCTCCTTGCTTAGACCTTCTTCTCCGTTGCTGGGGCTTTCTGATTATAGCAGGTTATCCTTCCTTTTATCGTGTTGCGCTCATACTTCTAGTATATGTGATGAGGAGGCCAATAGGGTGGCGAATTATTTGGTGAGGTGGTGTAGTAATCAACTGCACCCTAGTCTCCATTTCTATAGTGTTTTGGAGCTGCCAATCTTTGTTCAGAAACTCTACCAGCAAGATTTACAACGAATTCCTAGTTTTGCAGCTTCCTATTCTGTGTGAGTGTACTTGGTTGTAGGCAGTCCTATCTTCCTGGGGATACGGAGAACTTGGATTGTGGGTGTGCTCATTTTCCTTTTCCTATCTTGCTAGGGGATAGTGTTTGCGTAAGGATGAAGTAATTTTTAAGCCATTACTGGTTATACATGGGCTATGGAGAAGTTTTAGTATTATGGGTGAGCTTGTAATGCCTTTTCCTAATCTTGGTATGTGTGGTTTGTGGAGTGGGAAGTGGCCGGCTTGGATTGGCTTTATTTCTCCGTTGGAGTTTTGTCCACTTCCCTTGTGTTTCTATGGCATCAGTGAGTCATCGTTGATTTGTTGTATGACTTTTGCGGGACATTGACACTGGTCACGCCTTTACTTTGTGTTGTTTCGACCATATTGTGGCATTGGTCATGCCCTAGACTAGTGTGTTGCTAGTTAGGACCTTATTGTGGCTTTAGTCAAGCCTTAGACTAATTGTTCTAGTTAGGACCTTATTGTGGCTTTGGTCAAGCCTTGTTCTAGGCTCCCCCACCCTTTCTTCACTTATTGTATTCCCCGGAAGGCTTGTCTTCCGTATGAGAGGCTGGCATTAGGCCTTGGTTTTGGTCCTCCCCTCACTTTGTGGTGACGAAAATATCTTAATAAAACTCGGTAAGGGTTGCCTAGACCTTACCCCACCAAGTTTGGTGGTTTGCCCACTGGGATTTAAAAAAAATACATATATATATATATATATAAAATTATCACAACTATACATTTAATATTACTCCCACTAGTGTAGTATACTACTCCATTACAAGTTCTAAGTGTGTGACCCTTTAGATATCCATAACACTGGCAATGATATTAATATAAATTAATACCATAGATAATAAGCGGTATCTAGCAACACATTATTACCCGCAAATTATGAAAAAGACGTTCATCTCATCAATACCTTCTACGACACAAGACGTTCTATAACTATTATCCTTCTGTCCTAAATGTCATAATTTAACACAAGGCATGGGATGTGTATCCTTGCATAGTTAAATCAGCTGTTACTGAATCTCAAGAAGACTGGTAGGGATCAGATATTTATCAGTCTCTGGATAGCGACATATCTAGGCATGGCCATGCACTTTCCTAAGTCCTACAATTCAGTGGGCCCATTGACATTATACTTCTATACAGTAGAAGAGGCAGATCCTGTATCTGTTATTCACATCTCTAAATATGCTTAGCGGCATACCCAACGCATAACTGTACGTCTACCAGTATTTCAGATAGCATTAGTTATGAATCAAAGCATACGGCCCCACATATCAAAGAGTGTAATAACTTCAAGTCTGAGGATAGTTATAATAAGGTCGATTTGAGAATACTGATAAACACATTACTGTAGATCCATGCAGTATTCTCAAGATGGGTCAATCCAGTCAGATATTATCGATATAATATGCACCTACGTACAGATTAAGATATCACAATACCTATAGTCTATGAGACACAACTATCTCATCTCGTACGTACTAGTCTTGATACGTTATGACGTCCGTATTATCATAAAGTGCGACTAGGGATATTCTAGACATAGCCTTCGTCAAGAACTAACAGTCTCATAATAAGAACATCGTAGTCCTCCTCTATGTTACTGAAGCGCTATCATCTATGGACTGAAGCTATGTTATGTTACACGAGATATAAAACATACTTCAAGGCCTTTCATTCATGATAAAGTGTACAATTACATAGGTATTTGATTGCCGCTAGGGCACCTAAATACAAGAATCTCCCACTTGCCCTAAGGCCAATCAAGCATTTCTCGAATGCCCATAGACCATGTATGACTCTCGTGTTTAGGCTTTCCCAAAGCCTTCATCAACGGATCTGCGATATTGTCGTCTGTACCTATCTTGCAAATCTCAACGTGCCCACGTGCAACGATTTCTCGTATGATGTGATAACGTCTAACGATGTGTTTGGTCTTCTGGTGAGACTGAGGTTCTTTTGCTTATGTAATTGCCCCATTGTTGTCGCAAAACAACGGTATAGGGTTCTTGATGCTAGGAACCACTCCAAGCTGAGTAATAAAATTCTTCAGCCACACACCTTCCTTGGCTGCCTCGGCTGCAGCCATGTACTCTGATTCTGTAGTGGAATCAGCGGTAGTATCTTGCTTGTAACTCTTCCAGGTAACAGCTCTGCCATTCAAACAAAACACATACCCTGCCTGCGACTTGAAGTCGTCTCTATCAGTTTGGAAGCTGGCATCAGTATATCCGACAATACTGAGCTCTTCTTTTCCGCCATATACCAGGAAGGCATCCTTAGTCCTACAGAAGTACTTAAGGATGTTCTTCACAGCCGTCCAATGGCTTTTACCAGGGTTGGACTAGTATCTACTCGTGAAACTCAGAGCAAAGGTGACATCAGGTCTCGTACATACCATCGCATACATGATGGATCTAATGGCCGACGCATAAGGAACATTTCTCATGCGTTCTACTTCCTCTGGAGTGGAAGCACCCTGAGTCTTGGGAAGACTCGTGCCTTGGACCATAGGCAAACTTCCTCGTTTCAATTTAGACATGCTAAATCTAGCGAGGACCTTGTCTATGTATGTACTTTGACTGAGACCTAACAGCTTCCGTGATCTATCCCTATAGATACTTATGCCAAGTGCATAACTGGCATCTCCCAAGTCCTTCATAGAGAAACTCTTACTCAACCACGTTTTGACGGTGGTTAAAGTAGGAATATCGTTTCCTATGAGCAGTATGTCATCAACATACAGAGCAAGGAAGACTACAGCACTCCCACTGACCTTCTTGTATACACAAGATTCATCCGAATTTCTTTCAAAACCAAAGCCGAAGACAGTTTCGTGAAAGCGGAGTTCCAACTCNTAACAGCTTCCGTGATCTATCCCTATAGATACTTATGCCAAGTGCATAACTGGCATCTCCCAAGTCCTTCATAGAGAAACTCTTACTCAACCACGTTTTGACGGTGGTTAAAGTAGGAATATCGTTTCCTATGAGCAGTATGTCATCAACATACAGAGCAAGGAAGACTACAGCACTCCCACTGACCTTCTTGTATACACAAGATTCATCCGAATTTCTTTCAAAACCAAAGCCGAAGACAGTTTCGTGAAAGCGGAGTTCCAACTCCGTGAGGCTTGCTTCAATCCGTAGATTGATCGCTGCAACTTGCATACCTTGGTAGATTCTTCAGGAGCGCAAAACCCTTCAAGTTGTGTCGTAAAGACATCCTCAAGGAGGTTTCCATTAAGGAAAGCCGTTTTGACGTCCATCTGCCAGATTTCGTAATCGTGGTATGCTACGATAGCAAGTAAGATCCGAATGGATTTAATCATGACAACTGGAGAAAACGTTTTGTCATAGCCGATACCATGTATTTGACGATATCCTTTTGCTACCAATCGTGCCTTGAAGGTTTGCACCTTACCATCCATGTCAGTCTTCTTTTTGAAGACCCATTTACACCCAATGGGTTTGATCCCTTTGGGTGGATCAACCAAAGTCCATACTTGGTTGGTGTACATGGAATCCATTTCGGACTACATGGCTTGACGCCATTCCTCAGCCTCAGGACAACTGATTGCCTCGAGGTAGGTCTCCGGCTCATCCTGGTTGATAAGCATTACGTCACCCTCAAAGGTTAGGAGGAATCCATACCTTTCAGGTTGTGTGCGTAACCAGTTAGACCTACGGGGTTCTTGTGTATCTTGAGCATTTTGAGGTACAACAGTTTGTTCCTCTAGCTCATGTTCCTGAACCGGCGCGGTAGTTTCTTCGTCGTCTCGAATTTCTTCGAGCTCTATCTTTCTCCCACTAGTTGCGTTGGAGAGAAATTCCTTCTCGAGGAAGACACCATTGCGAGCAACGAATACCTTCTTATCGATAGGGTGATAGAATGAATACCCTCGAGTTTCCTTTGGGTATCCCACGAAGAAACACTTATCAGACTTGGTATGGTGTTCCTTCAACCGGGCATTCGTCATAAGACGTTTGACGTAAGCCTCACATCCCCAAATCATTAAGTGTGACAGAACTGGGCATTTCCCGTCCATACCTGGTATGGTGTTCCTTCAACCGCCTTGGTTGGAACTCGGTTAAGAGTATATATTGCAGTGCTCAGCGCATACCCCCAGAATGATTCTAGTAGAGTCGAATGACCCATCATAGAATGAACCATGTCAAGCAGGGTTCGGTTCCTCCTTTCAGAGACGCCATTCCGTTGTGGAGTCCCAAGAGGTGTGAGTTGGGATAAAATCCCATGCTCTCTAAGATAGTCATCGAACTCACCACTTAAGTATTCTCCACCTCGATCGGATCGTAGTGTTTTAACACTTTTGCCAAGTTGTTTTTCAACTTCATTCCTGAATTCTTTGAACATTTCAAAGGACTAAAATATAAGTTCCGATTGCCAAAGCTGCAACAGGTGCACCATTGCCGACTCGGAGTTCAATCTTGCCTCAGGCTAACCGTCTACTCTACTTCAGTCCCTGCATGGTAGTACAGATATGAGACCCACATCGGTTATCTAGTACCCATGATGAAGATATAGACATGTTAACTTCTATAACATGCACCTCATAAGAAATGGTCGTACATTCCTTCTTCTTGGTTGCGAGGTATGTCTTGCAGTTTCTCCTCCAGTGGAGTGGCCTGTCTTACCACAATGATGAAATTTGCCCTTTGCAATCCCTCCTACGGTTTCTGGGTCGCAGATGAAGTGGAATTTGATTTAGGCTTTCCGACCGTCCTAGCCTTAATCTTGATCCCCTTCTTCGGCTTCCCCTTTCCGCCTTAGACCATAAGGACGGAAGCACCCTTGCCCTTAGTAAGGTTCTCCTCTGCAGTCTGGAGCATTTTAAGAAGCTCCGGAATTGGTTTTTCAAGATCATGCATCATGTAGTTCATGACAAAACCCTTATACAGCTCAGGGAGCGGCTGCAGGATCAAGTCCGTTGCCAGCTCCTTCTGCAAGGAGAACCCCAGTTTCTCTAGATTGGTTATGTAACCAATCATTTTGAGAACGTGCTGGCCAATCGGGTTTCCTGAAGAGAGCTTGCAACTAAAGAGAGCCTTACTCACAAGAAAATGTTCATGCCTGGATTGCCCCTGGTATAGCTGCCGCAAGGCCACGATCATCTCGTGGGGCTTCATGTCCTCGTGCTGTTTTTGCAGCTCGGTTATCATGGTTGCCAGCATGACACAGCTAACCTGGTTGTCATCCTTAACGTGCTTCTCGTAGGCATCTTTAACCGCGTTCGGGGCATTAGCGGGAGGGGTAGGAGGAATGGGCTTTTCGAGCACATACTCTTTCTCATCTATGCGGAGAACAATGGAGAGATTGCGTTGCCAGTCAACAAAGTTTGTTCCGTTCGATTTTTCTTTATCTAGAATGGAACGTAGGGCGAGGTTGTTTGTGTTGTTGTTTGCCATATACAGAATTTTGCGAAGATAGTTATTATCATGAATTAAGTATCTAATAGGTCTTTATTAAATACTCTCCCACTATTTTTAACATGTCAATTACCCTCAGGTACGGAACCTATTGACTTGAGGTCTCTATTTGAAGAATACCCTAGCAGGCCAAGATCCATATTTTACTTAACTATAGTTGTGCTTTGCATCTTGCCCTACAGTCAAGTTATTTAGGTAGGAATTCATTCCAATTGCAATCGTTATTACAACTCTTGGTTTGGTGGACTCTTTTAAATAAAATTCTTAATTGGGCCAGATCCATATTTCAGTTAACTATAGTTGTGCTTTGCATCTTGCCCTACAGTTAAATTATTTCTCGTAGGAATAAATTCCAATTGTAACGAGTTACAACTCTGGTTGGATGATCTGATTTTATTTATTGATCCTACCGCAGTGCCCTAAGTCTCTCATCCATATGACCAAGACTTAGTTAACACTAACCCGGGGCGAGTCAGTACCCTAGTTACGGGTTTCGCGCCTAACCAACATAAACCAGGCATCTCACTTGGGTGAGTCCGTTACCGATCTAAATTGGGTTTGACGAGTGACGGGACGTCGGGGTGGCACAGGCTTACAATTATGAGGGATTTATTACGCTGTCTTGCCTATGGCATACACCACGTGCATGCACTAGCGAAAATCACATACATGCATACATTCATTCATACATCACATGCATAATAAGTAAACGTGAAATGATTGTGGCTCCTAAAGAAAAACAAACGACAGCGCCTTGATCAAGAGATCTCTATCTCCGGCCCATCACGTCTTCCTTAGGATTCTCCATCACGAACGGACTTCGTCTTCTTGTCTTCTTATAATTTTCGAGAGAAAGGAATATTGAGGTAAAGAAGAGAATTACATCCAGAGTATAGAGATGAGGCACGACACGCAGACCGTATTTAAAATTATAACAAATATAACTAAGCCACAATCATCGACCATGCAATAATACATAAAAGCATCACATGCATCACATCATACATAATAAAGCATACACCGGGCGAACCGCGCTCGCCCAGACCTAGTTTATTCTAATCTACGGAATAAACTATCAATCAATAAATTAATTAAACTAGAAAATAATTTAATTAAAAATAATAAAATACTTAAAATTTCCAGAATTTTAGAAATTAGATTTTCTAAACTCCAGAAAATAAAATATTTTATATTTACCGTATATATATATATATATGAAAATTCGAAAAAGGGATTTTATTTCGAATTAAATACATATATGTTTTCTAAATTAGAAAATAATTATTGGAGACTCCCAGTAAACATTACTAATCTGGAAATCCTAAAATTCCAGAATGAATAAAATTTAAAATTTTGAAAAGTAATTTTCATAGCTAGAAAACCGAAATGATATTGAAAATATATTTCGAAATTCCAAAAATATCAAAATATTTGTTTCAAGTCCAAAATAAGTTCTAGAACCAGAATATGATTTTTCCAAAATTTAAAATATTAAATTTGAAATTTAAAATAATTAAATATCGGACTAGTGAATAGTACCGATCTAATTAATTCAAAAATACAAAATAAATCATTTTACGCGCTTACAAATTATGAAAATTTTTATACAAGCTTAAAATCTCTGGTGGCAACTTATGATGAATTAAAATTAATTTTTGATCGTCAAAAATAAGTTTTCCTATTTTCTATTCAATAAACGAAGTTAAACATAGAAAAATAGGAAATTAATTCCAAAAATCGATTTTAAAATTTCGGAGTTATATTGACATGTCAAATACATCCCAGAAAATATAAAATCTAATTTTCATAAATATTAAGTATTTATGGCACAAATAACAAGTATTCTACACACAAACTACTTAATAAGAATAATATAAAAATACCCCAAACAGTAATTCCAAAAATTGCTAAACAATATTATATTAGATCCAGTATCTAAATATGGCCACCTGATTAAATTTTATAATGGGATAAATTTTTGTCTTGAAAATTTATTGACTAATCTACAAAAACAATAACGGTAAAAACTACTAAACTAGTAACTTCGTAAGCCGGCTCCGATACCACTGTTGGGAAACGAGGCTTGGATAACGCAGCGGAAAACAAAATTTTAGAGTCCAAAACTCGATTCCACCCAAGAACAACTTACGTAAATTACTAGCTATAGTAAGAAATTTACCTTAATGGTGAAAAACGGAGAACGGAGACATGGTCGGGGATGGTTTTGAAGAGATGAACGTAGCGCCAAACGTATGAAGCCTCCAACGTATCCACACGAACTTGCTCCGGAGTCCTAGATTAAACTTGTGCTAGCAAGTTTAATTTAGGATAGTAAAAACTATAATAATACTACTTTGGGAGTAATAAATATATAGTAAAAATATTTATCTTATAAATATTTCTTTATAATATTTTGTGGATATTTCTAACACTTTAGAAAAATAACTTGGAACACAAAATAAAATTTTCTTCTCTCTTATTTATAATGGCCGAATGTATTAAGCCTAAAGGGGAGGGATTATAATTCATTTTATAATACACAACTTTAATGAATTTCTAGGAAATAGCTTGGGGACAAAACAAAATAGGATTAGTGTAAAGTGCCCGACCAACACCACAAGACAAAAATCCTTTTGTTAATCAAATATTTGATTATAAAATCAAATATATTATTAGGTAAAAAATCAAATTATGTTTTGTATTTTTCCCAATGTATTTTCGGCCATCCCTTATAAAACTACATTACATTTTTTTCATGAATAATTATCATATAATTAAAATGATGAAAATAAAAATAATATATATATATATAATAAAATTTGTTTTGTCAAAATATAATTATCATATAATTAAAATGACACAAACAAAATATAATTTTAAAGTACATATATATTTTCGAAATACATACATACATACATACATATATATATATATATATATATATATATATATATATATATATATATATATAATTATCACAACTATATATTTAATATTACTTCCACTAGTGTAGTATACTACTCCATTACAAGTTCTAAGTGTGTGACCCTTTAGGTATCCATAACACTTGCAATGATATTAATATAAATTAATATCATAGATAATAAGCGGTATCTAGCAACACATTATTACCCGCAAATTATGAAAAAGACGTTCATCTCATCAATACCTTCTACGACACAAGACGTTCTATAACTATTATCCTTCTGTCCTAAATGTCATAATTTAACACAAGGCATGGGATGTGTATCCTTGCATAGTTAAATCAGCTGTTACTGAATCTCAAGAAGACTGGTAGGGATCAGATATTTATCAGTCTCTGGATAGCGACATATCTAGGCATGGCCATGCACTTTCCTAAGTCCTACAATTCAGTGGGCCCATTGACATTATACTTCTATACAGTAGAAGAGGCAGATCCTGTATCTGTTATTCACATCTCTAAATATGCTTAGCGGCATACCCAACGCATAACTGTACGTCTACCAGTATTTCAGATAGCATTAGTTATGAATCAAAGCATACGGCCCCACATATCAAAGAGTGTAATAACTTCAAGTCTGAGGATAGTTATAGCAAGGTCGATTTGAGAATACTGATAAAGACATTACTGTAGATCCATGCAGTATTCTCAAGATGGGTCAATCCAGTCACATATTATTGATAGTCACATATTATTGATATAATATGCACCTACATACAGATTAAGATATCACAATACTATAGTCTATGAGACACAACTATCTCATCTTGTACGTACTAGTCTTGATACGTTATGACGTCCGTATTATCATAAAGTGCGACTAGGGATATTCTAGACATAGCCTTCATCAAGAAGTAACAATACAAAAAATATGACTTTTTGTAGCTAAACTTTAGTAGCAAAATAAATATTTGCCACAATAGACTCATGGTCTACAAATATTTGTAGCAATTAAGAATTTGCCACAAATTGTTAGACATATTGTAGCAATATTAAAAATTTGCCAATATATCTAAATAAGTGGAGAATAAAAAAATAGCAAAAAATGGGGAATAAACTTCTTAAGAGAGATTTTGTTTCTAATTTTTTTATATTTTAAAACCCGTACATAGAGACCCCAATCGTAGATTCACAGCAGAATGAAGATGGCGATCAACCAGAAGCTTTCACTCCTTCAACTAGATAACGACACTTCTTCAGTGACGATCGACGCAGACCGACACCGGCGGGGACCAGGAAATTGGTGATGTGTTGCCTAGGTTTTGCTTCTTCTTCCTTCTCCAAGACCACTAGGGTTTCGAATCTTACCCCCGTCTCTACGATCTATCATTTACTGCGGATGATGGAGGATACGATTAAGGAACATAGATGAACCAGATGCAGAATGGATCTGGATGAAGGTAAAGTTGCAGAGTTTATGCCTTTGCAGATTTCAATGGGGAAAAAATTAGGTTTGGTAACGTTAGCTGGGATTCCTTCTAATCTATATGTTCTATTTGGTTTCCTTTTCAATTTTATTTTTTATTTCATGTTTAGTTTTGTTTTCAGTATGTGTGTTAGCAATTTGGACATAATAGATTTGGATTTGTGGTTTTAAGTGATTTGATTATTGATGTTCTTTTACAATTTGTCATTTAATTTGTTTATATTCAAGGATTTGGGAAAATTTAAATTCGTATTATTTGAGTAATTGAATAATTTATTTCTTCTTTAGGTATATAACACTACCTCACAACCTTTCTTACTATGGACCGAGGTTGTTTCCGGGCAACTTCTCCTCCAGCACCTAAAAGAAGCTTGCGCATTGGTTATTTTGTTTTGCTTTTGCCTATTCCTTGGAATTACTTCTTGGATGACATTGGTTTTTTGCTGTGTTTTTGTTCATACTCTACATTGTTTGTGGGATTCAAACCCCTGGATTTTGTGGTCTTTATCCAGGTGGATGTTGTGAAGACTTTAGGCAGGTTTCTTTGGTTTTCATTCTTTAATAAATCATTCCCTCTGAATATGCTAATGGGCTCTATTTATTTTGGGTACTTTATATTGGATTATATTGTTTTCTAAACTACTCTGATTAGGCTTTGCATAGTGCTTACCATAGGAAGAACTTTCAATAGGGTCATCTAAGTAGCCATGCACTATTGTTCAAGCTGGAGAAAGGCAAGGTTGCTCCAATTGTTTTCACACTTGTGGCTTG